GCATTTTTAAAATTCAGATCAAGGGTCGAGATCACGCCACCTCGGCCCTGTCCCCTCCCCCTGTCTTTTAAGCATTTTTATTTTGATTAAGTGCATGTTTGAACCTCTTATTTTATTTTATTTTTTTTTAAATGCTTTTTGGAATTTTTGATTGATGTATAATGTGTTATTAAAAAATAAGAAATTTTTTTAAATTTGAGTGTAATATTATTTTATAGAAAAATGTGTGATTGAAAAGAAGAAAGAAAAATATATTTTGAAAATAATGAATGCTAAATTAGAGGACCCACCAATTATTTGAGGTCCGGACTATTATTTCTTTACTTTTGGGAGTGACCTCTAGCAATTTTGTCAAGGATGGAGATTTGTTGTTTCCACGACGCTGTACTCGATAGAATTTTGGCACTTTATTTGAGAAACGACAAAAATATGTGAAACTTCACTAAAATTTTGACACCTCAAACGCGTCAAAATTTTAATGAAAAGGGTCATTACAAGTACGATAGATTTGTCTTTATACAATATTCAAAAATTGTATCGACTAAAGTTTCAAACGTTAAAAAAAAGGTTGAAATATTGACTCAAAAAAAAGTAGCTTAATCCCAATTTGGTGTTGGTTAAAATCTTGATTTCCGAATGACTTTTTGTAGGGTTGGGCAAATCTCCCGAACCGAACCCGACGGTTCTTGTCAAATTAAATACCCGAATGGGTATCTGAATTGAGAATCGACGGGAATGATTCGGTTCTCGGTTCTAGATCAAGAACGGAAGAACCGAATAAGAATTGAATCTTTCTATTTTTTTTTAATATTGAGTAAATCAAATTATTTTAATTTTAATTTTTTCTAAACAAATTAAAAATTTCTAAATCCAAATTTTTGGCTCAATAATTTGTTTTATTTCTAATTTTTTAATTTTTGGCCAAATTACCCATTTCATTGTTTCATTTATTAGCCCAACAAGATACAAATCACTAAATAACCCTAAACACCTACACTAAAGTGCATAACGTTGTCTCGACTCTCGCACTCACTCTCCCAGCCTCGCTAACATTCCAAAACCTATACAATCGTCAGTCGACGCTGTGACCTCCGCCGATCGAAACTTTGACTGTAGCGATCATTTAAACAAGGTAGTCTACTAGTCTCTGATATTCCAAAGCCACTGAATGTATCATTAGTTGTATTTATATAATATTGTTATAAATGTTAAAAAATTTAATTATAGTACAGAACCGAACGGAACCGAACCGAACGGTTCCATAATTATATTTGGACCCGACGGTTCCATTTACTAGATACTCAAAAATTTTGGTTCGATTCGATTCTCCTTAGAACCGAAACGAACCGACCCGCGTCCACCCCTGACTTTTTGAACATGTTTTAGAATTTCAATTTTTGAATGCAAATGTACTAGTTTCAAAATTGCGATTTCGAATTTTTCTGAGTGAATTGACTCGGTTGGTTCAATTTTAACAGCAACTTGAAATTGATATAATTTGACACGAAAAATAAGGCATTGAATAAAGAAAAGAGACTCTATACGATTTAAGATAAATTTATGAGGTAGCTTTGTGCTTGTAACTTTTGTGAAAGTAGCTGCCATGTTAAGATTTGAATTATGAATTCTCCTTTGTACCCATTAGATGACAATTAGCTCACTTTTCTCTTGGGCTTGAAAACAATGGGAGCCTAAACAACTCGTTTAAAACTGTATAAGACTATATCTATTTGAATTGCTAGAGTGAGTTCAAGTATATTATACTAAAATCGGGATCCGTTTGATTGTAAGAAAGGAATTTGAGGGAAAAGAATACGAATTTCAGGGAATTGAATTGCCTAGAATTTGTTTTACTGATAATTATCAATTAAATGTGTTTGATTGCTATAATTTTTTACCTGAAAAATATTGAAATTTTGGATCTTTTGGTGTTCATTTGACTTTGTTTTTTATGAAAATTGTCAAGTAATTGATAGATTTTTTTTACAATTATGGATAGAATTTATTTTCATTGCAAAATAAAAAATAAAAAAACCTGAAAAATCCAATTCTCACCAAAACCAAAGGAATTGAAATTTTTTCATAACCAAGAAAATGCTATCACGTGAGGGAAAAGTGGGAAAGTAATTCCACGGAAAATTGTGCTTTCAAACAGTCCCTCAAAGTTTCTTACTTTCTTTGCCTGGATTCAAATTCTTTTTATTATTATTCTGGAAATTTACTTAAATTCAAGAAAAATCACTTGATTTAATCAATAAACCACCTCAAATTTAACTATTCATTAAAACTAGTTATAAAATATAAACCAAATTTGAGTAATAGAAAATTCGACTCATTAGTACAATCATGAAGTCATGCAATATTTATAATGTCAAAGAAACAAAAGAAAATTTTCTATTCTTATATGCAGATGGTATAATGGGATTATGTTAGTCAAATTATCTGCACTTTGTTAGGACACAAATTTTCTCAAAACATTGAACAATGTCTATAAATGTTGTGATCCTTAAATCTTAGCAAGTGGGACACTTTTAAGTGTCAATATTAATGTTAAGGGGGAGTGCACTCGGGGCCCTTGGCCTCCTACTCACCCTTCAATAAATATCTTTACAATCTTTATACCATTATCAAAATCTTGCTACCTTGCAACCGACAAAACAATCACAAGTAATTGCTTGTTTTCTAGAATCATACTTTCATGCCAACGACACGTATCAACAGGTAATGTCGTACTAACAAGCGCGACGAGCTTTCTTTAAAATACAAATCGAACTTTGCGATAAGAATTAATGAAATAGAATATTTTCATAAATGAATACAATCATCATAATGTTGTACAGTAACGGTTAAAATTACCTGACTCCTACATGTAGGGTGCAAATGGCTAGTGATTTTGGGAGGTAGGGGTTTCTCTTTTGGCTGCTAGCCAAGGAATTTTAAAAGAAATGAAAGATGGGACAGTCTAGCACATGATTCATTGTATGTAGAATACTAAATTGTTGTACATAAGAAAATGCAAACTTATAATAATGTACCAAGAAGGAAAAAAAAAAAAAAGAGAAAAAAAAAGAAAAAAGCATCTCTAATATGAAAAAAGCCAAGCCAACTACCTTTAAAGAAAATATGGATTGATTTTACTTGTCTCTAACTCTTGCATGTGGAGGGTTTTGACTATCAACTTTGCGCACTAAAAAGGACGCCCACAATCCAACCACTCACTATCTATGAATAATTTGCTATTGTTCTTAGCAATGTTGTGTGGCTAGCCCTCCTTCAACACATCATAAGGACGTCATATTAAATACTGTCACGAATCAAATATAATTATTTACGAAAGTTTGCATGACTTATAGCTCGAGATGTTAATTTTGTCATGAAATGAAATGATCATCTCAGTCATCGTTATGTTGACTAACACTTCTAACAACTAGAAAAATGAGCATGTATGGATAAGCTTAAAAGGTGCTTAGAAGCGAAATTAAGCATGTATTTTTCAATAAAGATGTATAGATCATGTTCGCTGATTAACAAATATGTACAAAGACTTAATTTTAAGGATAATTCTAAGTGTACATAATTTGATTTATCAAATGATTTACTTACTCTCATAAGCACGTGAACCCCGCGTGAATAAAATAATCTCAACATGTGGTCCCCACCACCCTAATGTGAGTGTGTGTAAAGTTTACATCATTAGGTAAAAAAAATTAAGTACATTTAACATAGTCTAATTTTAATATATGAGGAAACATTTTCCGAATAAAGTAATTTAGCATGCTTTACCATTTAACTAATAGTGAATTGTGTGAATATTGACCAGGGTCCACCATAGTAGGCTCATGATGGCTATGCAAAGATGTTCTTGAAGACGAGTTTTATGTTTTAAATCTACCTATCAAGAATTCGATCAAAATGTGAAGACCGTGTTAAAACACTAAATTCGAGTGCTTCTACAAAAGATATCGACCCCTGATACTACTTTCAAGAGCTCGTATCGAATCCTATCAATATATTCAATTCAGCCATTTTATTAGCTTTCTAAATTATTAAAATCCGAAATAAATTTAATTACCATTTAGAACTCCTAGACTCTTCCATATCTATCCGCTGTAAATTTGCATTATTCTTTATCCAATCACAGGCATTTAATGAGCTACATCAACAGCAGTGTCTGTACAGTAATTATAGCAAAAATCAAGGGCTCTTTCGTACATCCAACATAATATAACCCAACCCCTCCAGCAGAATCAAATCCCCTTCCCTCACTAAATCATTTTCTTCCAAAAATTTCCACGTACAAAAAAATGTCTGCATGCTGCAAAATCCACAACATTGTACGGCTCCGTCAAATTTTACGGCGGTGGAGGAAGAAGGCAGCCGCCGCCACGTCCAGACGTATACCTTCCGACGTGCCGGCGGGCCACGTGGCAGTCAATGTTGGCGCCAGTTGTAAAAGATTTGTAGTCCGCGCGACGTACCTGAACCACCCCCTTTTCAAGAAACTGTTGGTTCGGGCCGAGGAAGAGTACGGGTTCACAAATACGGGCCCGTTGGTCATTCCTTGTGATGAGTCACTGTTTGAAGAAATTCTCCGTTACTTGGACGGTAAGAACGACTCGGCCCAATTTATGAGTTTTGAGGATTTTCATAGATACTGCCACGTAGGAATTCGGAGTAATCTTGAACTTTGGGCCGAGTCATGGCCGCTGCTTCATGGAGTTTCCGACTGATAATCGACGGGTTTGACTTGTCCGAGTTGGTTCACTTTAGCCATGACTCTAAAATTGAGTGTTTCGAGGTGGGTTTTTACTAATTGAGTTGGCGAGTATCGTTTCACTTTTCACCGAGTCACTGAATAATCGGGGTGAGTCAAGTCTATCTGCTCTGGAGAATATATTGGAGATGGCAAGTTGGTGGCGAGTTGCCGCCGGGTCGTCCCGGATTCGAATCGGAGTGGAGTCAACAAATGGGTATATACTAACTCTCTCAAATCATTTTCTTCCAAAAATTTCTACGTACAAAAAAATGTCTGCATGCTGTAAAATCCACAACATTGTACGGCTCCGTCAAATTTTACGGCGGTGGAGGAAGAAGGCAGCCGCCGCCACGTCCAGACGTATACCGTCCGACGTGCCGGCCGGCCACGTGGCAGTCAATGTTGGCGCCAGTTGTAAAAGATTTGTAGTCCTAGCGACGTACCTGAACCACCCCCTTTTCAAGAAACTGTTGGTTCGGGCCGAGGAAGAGTACGGGTTCACAAATACGGGCCCGTTGGCCATTCCTTGTGATGAGTCACTGTTTGAAGAAATTCTCCGTTACTTGGACGGTAAGAACGACTCGGCCCAACTTATGAGTTTTGAGGATTTTCATAGATACTACCACGTAGGAATTCGGAGTAATCTTGAACTTTGGGCCGAGTCACGGCCGCTTTTGCATGGAGTTTCCGACTGATAATCAACGGATTTGACTTGTCCGGGTTGGTTCACTTTAGCCATGACTCTAAAATTGAGTGTTTCGAGGTGGGTTTTTACTAATTGAGTTGGCGAGTATCGTTTCACTTTTCACCGAGTCACTGAATAATCGAGGTGAGTCAAATCTATCTGCTCTGGAGAATATAATGGAGATGGCAAGTTGGTGGCGAGTTGCCGCCGGGTCGTCCCGGATTCGAATCGGAGTGGAGTCAACAAATGGGTATATACTAATGTCAATTGCAACGTGATGATTTGAATAAAATGTTGTATTTACTTTGTTTAATATTAGAAAACAAGATAAACATAATCCAATTCTCCAGAATTCAGAATTAGAAAACGAGATAAATGTAAGCCGATTCTCCACAATCTAAAATAGTAAAGGTGTTTAATATATTTGGTAAGGTAAATTTCAACACGTAAAATGAGAGTTATAGCAGTGGTTGGTGTAACGGGCTTGGCCGTGGGGAGTTGTTACGAAAAAGCGAGAATAAGCAATAAAAAAAACTTAAAGGGCTTCTCTGGACCCCTTTAATTTTAAAAAGTGCATTATGGAATAGTGATTTATATTGAAATGTATGATTAAAAAAAAAAGAAAAGTTATTGATTTATGTGTAATATTATTTTAATGAAAAATATGTGATTGAAAATAAGTATTGTAAAAAAACAATATCTTAGAATGATTGATAAACAAAGACTAAGAACAAGAACACACGATATAAGGATTCGTTTGATTGTAAGAATGAAATTTGGATAGAAAGAAAAATGAATTCCATGGAATTGAATTGTTTATAACTTGTTTTATTGAGAATTGTCAATTAAATATAGACTTTTTGGTGTTCGTTTGACTTTATTTTTCGTGAAAATTATCAATAAACTGGATAGATTTTTGTACAATTGTGGATAGAATTTATTTCTATTGCCAAAATAATAAAAATAAAAACATGAAAAAGTAAATTCCCACCAAAACCATTTGAAAGGAATTCCACAAAATTAGGAAAACCGGTCACGTGGGGGAGGGTGGAAAATGAATTGCCGACAAAATTTGTATAATCAAACATCCAAAAAGGTGTAAAATAGAAAAATTTTCCAAGGAAAGTCCCTCTATCAAAGAGGCCCTAAGTGAAACTTTAAAATGGAAACTAATCACTGACGGAGAAGGAAAAATTCACTATATTAAATATGATTACAAGAGGTGCAACTACTCAAATTATTTAATGTTATGATATCCTAATATGCATCATATACATAATAAAAAGGTTCCTCTATCAAACATTCAAAAAGGTGGAAAATGGAAAAAATTTTCAAGGAATGTTTATCTATCAAACAGGCCCTAAGTGAAACTTTAAGATGAAAAATAATCACTGACGGAGAAGGAAAAATTTACTGTATTAAATATGATTACAAGAGGTGCAGCTACTCAAATTATTTGATGTTATGATATCCTAATATACATCATATATATAATAAAAAAGTTTGATCCCTTCGCTACCACCATAGACCCACATTTTTCCCATAATTTTAATTTCAACATATATATCGCATCACGAACTTTTCGAGCCAATCCAAATAGAATTCAGGTCACCGTACTTTAATGGGAGTTGAGATGGTAGCACCTCACATGAAAGGAAGGATGAAAGGCTGCTATTTGTCCTATAAATAATTTGTTGTTTAGAGTCATTTATTTCACTTAATCTTTGTGCAATAAAATTATTAAAGTTGCAGCTGTTGATTTTATTGCTTTCTGGGAATATAACTTTAAACATTACACCCATTTTCCTTTTTAATTTGAAACTTATGTCATGGGGAAAATACATTACTGATTTGAGTTTCTTACGATCTTTTGTTTTACCTATATTAAGGCCGATCTTGTAACAGGGTTGATATAATTCAATTCAAATATCTGTTTAAATATATTAAGTTTTACCATATGACGAGAAAATCTTTCTGTACCTCCTCAAAATTTAATTTATTCACGTTATTATTGTATTTATTTTTGTGGGTGCAGGAGTAATAGATTAACATGGTGTCAACTCATAGGATGAATAATTAGTTAATCAAGCGATTGTGCCCTGAATCTTAAACATGTATTTGTTGGGAAAGATGACTAATAATGTAGGAATTGAGATTTAATGAGCATCACTTGAAATAATAAATAAGATCGTAAATTATCAAGAACAAGATTTAAAGTAAAGAAGAAAAAGAAAATTTAAGCAAAGGAACGATAAATTTTATTAAACCCTACAATATGGAGAGAATTACAACAACACGGCAATTTGGTTTAAACTAAACTGAAAGAGGAACCATATATTTATAATACACGAGTCAAATCCTAAAACTAGGCTAAAATATGAAAATTAAGAAAAACCACGTAAAAGAAAGAAATTCGGCGCTAAAATATTATTTCTTTAATTTTGGATGCAATTGATTTCTTTCATTTTTCACTTGATTCTAATGATTCTTTCCTAAGCCAAGACAACACGCAATATTTCAATCTTTGACCAAATTTTGAGGCACCTAATTAACAATTTCCACCTTGTCTCGAAATTCCGGTGCAATAAACAAAACTCCAAAATTTCAAATCCATCTGCATCGAAATAGCTAATCTTCTCAACACAGTAACCAAACTCTCCACCACCAAAATCATTGTTCTCTGCACGACGTCCAAAAGCGACACCCGAACCCAAATCTTGAGTTCCCAAAATTCCACCGAGGAATTACAGTTGACCAAATAGGGTCGAAACACACCATGTAACAGAAACCATACCAAATGTACGATCAGAAGGTCCCTTTCCAATATTATCACCTTCAATAATCCCTAAGGCATCCCAGACATCTCCAAAACTGTATCTACGCCCCATGAGTCCATTGACACCACAAGAACACGGTGTACCCCCTAAAATTGGTGGTAAAGCGGAATCATCAACACTCCCATGAGCAAAATTCTTAATTGACCCAGAGCCAAACACGAGAGTTACTGTACCAAATTGAATGTCCACCATGGTACTGAACTTGTCCAAATGTCTCTGAACTGGTTCTGCGCTCCCTTTCAAGATGTACAACTGGGATTTCCTCTCTCCCTCCAATACAATCCGGACACCATTTCGAACCTTCAAGACTCCACCTCCACCAGAGAATTTATACCCTTTTGCATCCAAGGTACTCAGCGATATGAGATTCTTTGTCCAAGTTTGGAACATAGTGACCCTGATCAAATGTCCTTACTGTCCCATTTTGTAGTCTCAATCTGACCTGACCTATTCCTGCAACCTAACAAGATTGATTGTTTCCCATGACAACTCCACCTTACTTCACCGTCTCATATGTTTGAAACAAATCCCTATTGGGACACATATGATACAAACATGCAGAATCCAGAATCCACTCCCCAAGTTTGGATTCCTTATCAGATATAGCAAATATTACATCTCCATCATCAGAAAAATTCTCAATAATGTTAGCCTCGTTTCTTGATTGCCCCGCTTGATTTGTATGTAAATCACCTTTACCTTGCAACTTGTCGCAATCTTTCTTAATGTGTCCTTTCCTCTTACAGTAATAACAATACACATTGTTGTACCTTACCTTCGATCTACCTCTCCGTCGATCACCATGAGTAACCAGAGCATCCCCTCCTCTAGATGTAGGATCTCCAACCAACAGCTCCGTCTTCTCCTTTGAGAACAAGGCATCATATATCTCCTCAATGGTCAGCGTCTCACGACTATACAATATAGTGTCACGAAACAAAGAAAAAGATCTGGATAACGAACACAACAGGGTCAAGGCCAGATCCTCTTCATTATATTTTACCTCCAACGTCTCCAAATTTGCAAGAATGTCATTGAACACAGCAAGATGGTCCTGCAATGACCTTCATTTCTTCATGTGATAGGAATACAACTTCTGTTTTAGAGTCAGTTTGCTCGTCAGACTCTTTGTCATACACAATTGTTCCAACTTGAGTCACAAAACAGCCGCTATCTTCTCTTTCAAGACATCCTGCAAAAATATTGTTGGATTAGTGTCCTTCATAGACAAATTTGCTGCATCTTCTCAAAACCCAGCAAAGTATCGTCAAGATCCATTTGCGTCAACACAGTCCTCGCCTTTACTTGCCATGGAGAAAATCTTGTATTGCAATCCAGCAGTAGAATTTCATATTTCAACGAATTTATCCTTAAAAAATCTCAACCAAATTACGAAAAACCTGCAACCCGTGCTCTGATACTACTTGTTGGGACCGATGCAAACTAATGTAGGAATTGAGATTTAATGAGCACCACTTGAAGTAATAAACAAGATCACAAAATATCAAGAACAAGATTTAAAGTAAAGAAGAAAAAGAGAATTTAAGTAGAGGAATGATGAATTTTATTAAACTCGACAATATGAAAAGAATTACAACGACATGGCAATTTGGCTTAAACTAAATTGAAAAAGGAGCCACATATTTATAGTACAGGAGTCAAACCCTAAAACTATGCTAAAATATAAAAATTAAGAAAAACCACGTAAAAGAAAGAAATTCGGCGCCCAAATATTATATCCTTAATTTTGTATGCAATTGATTTCTTTCCTTTTTCACTTGGCTCTAATGATTCTTTCATAAACCAAGACATCACACAATCTTCCAAATTTTTACCAAATTTTGAGGCACCTAATTAACAGTATTTATAATGTGTTGACGTACTTGAGAAAGAATTTCAACCTTTTATTATAATTTCGTTTATGTAAAATTAGTCTATCCTAAACCTAGAAAAATGAGAAGGGTTTCAATCTTTGTAAGTTTAAAGAAAATTAAGAAAATAAACTAGCGGGCTCGTAGATTACTCGGCTCAACCCATGGGGGTCAAGGGCCGAGCCGGCTTAGCTCAACCTATTGCATCTACTATTAGTAGTGAATTCCTTGAAATTTGTGAATAAAAATGAATAGTAACTATGAATGCGTGTTTGAAATTAATGTTTGACTTTAACAGAATTTATAAACTTATATTCCAAATGAACGCTAAAAGTGTTGATTGAATTTTGGTATTCGACTTTTAACGAAAGTTTGCCATTTCTGACGATATGCTTCTTATTGTAACCCTCCGGTGGCTTCTTTTGAATGCCTCATTTAACCCTAATATGAGGCGTTTCTTGCATGCATGTTTCCGGACTCTTCGTCTCATTTTTCTTTCTCGTTTTGAAGTATTAGGTTTATTTAACTTTTTAGCGATCTTCTCCTGTAATCATCATAGTAATGCCCCATATTTTAGAAACTTTCATAATAATTTTTTGCATTTT